ATAACTGATTAATTATAGTCTAAATAAAGAAATGTCTTTATGTGTGTGTGTGTGTGTGTGTGTGTGTGTGTGCGCGCGTGCTTGTGTGTGTGTGCGTGTGTGTATGTGTGCATGTGGGTGTTCTGTGTGAGTGTGTGGAGGAGGGTGCTTTCAACCTAGATATAGTTATTGCTGCAGGCTTTGGTAGCTATATATTGAAACGTCCCCTCTAGTTCACATGCCAGACACAAAGAGCATCCAAGGGGGGAATATTCAATTAGACACAACATCCACATCACAAATCCTGGTCTAATTTTAATCTCAGTTTCTGTGCTTTCATTTTCTACACATCAGAAGGCAAGTTTATCTCATGATTTATTGTCACCTGAACCCTGAGGATGAACTCTACAAATCGCAACTGCCTTTGTATGACATTTTTCTATTATTTGCAGTCAGGGTGGCTGAAATATACTGAACAAAATTATAAACGCAACACTTTTGTTTTTGCCCCCATTTTTTATGAGCTGAACTCAAAGATCTAAGACTTTTTCTATGTACACAAAAGGCCTATTTCTCTCAAATATTGTTCACAAATCTGTCTAAATCTGTGTTAGTGAGCACTTCTCCTTTGCCGAGATAATCCATCCACCTCACAGGTGTGGCATATCAAGATGCTGATTAGACAGCATGATTATTGCACAGGTGTGCCTTAGGCTGGCCACAATAAAAGGCCACTCTAAAATGTGCAGTTTTACTGTATTGGGGGGTCCGGGGGGGTCCGAAAACCAGTCAGTATCTGGTGTGACCACCATTTGCCTCACGCAGTGCAACACATCTCCTTCGCATAGAGTTGATCAGGTTGTTGATTGTGGCCTGTGGAATGTTGGTCCACTCCTCTTCAATGGCTGTGCGAAGTTGCTGGATATTGGCAGGAACTGGAACACGCTGTCGTATACGCCGATCCAGAGCATCCCAAACATGCTCAATGGGTGACATGTCCGGTGAGTATGCTGGCCATGCAAGAACTGGGATGTTTTCAGCTTCCAGGAATTGTGTACAGATCCTTGCAACATGGGGCCGTGCATTATCATGCTGCAACATGAGGTGATGTTCGTGGATGAATGGCACAACAATGGGCCTCAGGATCTCGTCACGGTATCTCTGTGCATTCAAAATGCCATCAATAAAATGCACCTGTGTTCGTTGTCCATAACATACGCCTGCCCATACCATAACCCCACCGCCACCATGGGCCACTCGATCCACAACGTTGACATCAGCAAACCGCTCACCCACACGACGCCATACACGCTGTCTGCCATCTGCCCTGTACAGTGAAAACCGGGATTCATCCGTGAAGAGAACACCTCTCCAAAGTGCCAGACGCCATCGAATGTGAGCATTTGCCCACTCAAGTCGGTTACGACGACGAACTGCAGTCAGGTCGAGACCCCGATGAGGACGACGAGCATGCAGATGAGCTTCCCTGAGACGGTTTCTGACAGTTTGTGCAGAAATTCTTTGGTTATGCAAACCGATTGTTGCAGTAGCTGTCCGGGTGGCTGGTCTCAGACGATCTTGGAGGTGAAGATGCTGGATGTGGAGGTCCTGGGCTGGTGTGGTTACACGTGGTCTGCGGTTGTGAGGCTGGTTGGATGTACTGCCAAATTCTCTGAAATGCCTTTGGAGACGGCTTATGGTAGAGAAATGAACATTCATTTCACGGGCAACAGCTCTGGTGGACATTCCTGCAGTCAGCATGCCAATTGCATGCTCCCTCAAAACTTGCGACATCTGTGTCATTGTGCTGTGTGATACTGCACATTTTAGAGTGGCCTTTATTGTGGCCAGCCTAAGGCACACCTGTGCAATAATCATGTTGTCTAATCAGCATCTTGATATGCCTCACCTGTGAGGTGGATGGATTATCTTGGCAAAGGAGAAGTGCTCACTAACACAGATTTAGACAGATTTGTGAACAATATTTGAGAGAAATATGCCTTTTCTGTACATAGAAAAAGTCTTAGATCTTTGAGTTCAGCTCATGAAAAATGGGGGCAAAAACAAAAGTGTTGCGTTTATAATTTTGTTCAGTGAACATTTGCACTTACATTTATTTGGCAGACTCTTTTATTCAAAGCAACTAGTTGAGAAAAACATGCGATCCATCATGAGATGGCAATAAACATGAGAAGTGCCCGTTATACAGGTTTTCAGTCATTGTTCAAAACAAAAGCCAGGACCGGAAGATATTAAGGGAAAATAGGAGCATAGAAAAAGTGAAAAATGTTTTTTTTTTTTTTTTTTAGGAGGCAGTTAGGGGCTCATGGAGTGTTGCGTTTATAATTTTGTTCAGTGAACATTTGCACTTACATTTATTTGGCAGACTCTTTTATTCAAAGCAACTAGTTGAGAAAAACATGCGATCCATCATGAGATGGCAATAAACATGAGAAGTGCCCGTTATACAGGTTTTCAGTCATTGTTCAAAACAAAAGCCAGGACCGGAAGATATTAAGGGAAAATAGGAGCATAGAAAAAGTGAAAAATGTTTTTTTTTTTTTTTTTTAGGAGGCAGTTAGGTGCTCATGGAAGAGATTAGTTTTCAGTTGCTTCTTGAGTGATTCGATTCTCCGGATGGAGTTAAGTAGGTCATTCCACCAGTGAGGAACAGCGAAAGAAAACGAAAAAGAAATAGAAAAGAGATTTTGTGCCTCTCAGCATGGGCCCACGAGGCGTCACTCATTTACTAAATGAAACGTTGCTGAATATTGCAAGTGAGTGTGCGGTCTTATCTCCTTTATACAGATATGTTATCTTTGACATGCACCTCGAATGGTGTGCGTTTGCTTTAGTGTTTTATTATGCAACAATTATATAACCGGAAAACGTACATCATTTGCCTGAGCTGTGCAGAATGCTTTTCCAGCACTTTGTAGTCAGTGTTGCCAACTAATTTTCAGAGAAAGTTGCTAAAGGAGAGTAATTTGGTGCTTAAAGTTGCTAAATGACGTTGTGACGTCATTGCGTAATCACGACGCAAAATTGTCACAACATCAAATCTCAGCAAAAATATATATTTTATATATGTTAATTTAGATTTGTTTGTAAAATAATATGCATAATATAATATTAAAATATAAATAACTGTATTTTTAAATACATTGAATTATTGAACACCTACACATTTTTGAATGATTACAATTTAAGTTTTTTATTATAGCTAGTAAGCTAGTAATACTACGCATTCTCAACAATTATGCTTTAAGCAGTGTATTAGTAGTTAGCTAGTATGCTACACTCTAAGAAAAGTATGTAAAAATAGGGCACAATCTACTATGTTAATATGAAAGAATTTTCTGTATTGGTTTTTTACCTGCATTTTAAATTACACATTGTGTTTTCGGGTTACAGGGTTACAATGGATAATGACTTGGAAAATTACAAGTAGGCTATCTTTTCCATTTTTCTTACAGCGTACTAACTGATCAACAATCGCAAGTACAAGCTACTAACAAAGTGTATCATAAATGAACAATTATTATTATTATTGTTATTATTAAATTGAACAATTGCAAATAGCAGCTAACTCAATTCACGTGATGTGTGTACTGCTAGGCATCTTTGGTTTCCTCTTTTTGTGCAATTTGGATGGAAAATGTGTACCTTTTTATTATCTGAGTCACTTGTTGCCAAATAAATTTTAAAAATTGCTAAATTTGTTGCTGGGTGCTTTTGGAAGAAAAAGTTGCTAGGGTAGCCTGAAAAGTTGCTAAATTTAGCAACAAAATTGCTAAGTTGGCAACACTGTTTGTAGTAAAAGCGCCTTGTACATCGATTTAACAACATTTCGTTTGTGATTGGGTCATACAACAAGTATAGAATATTCTGACCAATCACCGTAGAGTGCGGTGTGAATAAGATGAACTAAACTACACTTCACCTCAAAGAAAACGGCGCGAAGTTGGGAGCGATACCAATTCACTTTTAGAGGGGAGTTCGTAAGCGCTGTACTGTTATTGACGTACACTCGTAAAACGAATACAAACGTAATGAGGAAATATACTTTGTGTAGCGTTAAATAGGCACACATAGCGCTTAGGACAGTTATCCAACAGGTTTCGTTTTCTTAAAGAAACCCCATGTAGTGCTGACGAATGAAATCGCCCAGAAGAAGGAAATGTGGAGGAGAACTCAAACAGAAGACCCAAATATGTATGCAGGATCTCATTATTGTCCATAAATATCACATAAATGCGTTTATTAATCGCTACTGTTTCCCTCTGAATAAGTCGGTAAGTTCGAAGAAGATACGTTAATAGTTTTTTAAAAATGTGTATGAAGCTAGTTGAGTTAGTTTTACCTTCCAATTGAATAAACAAAGTAAGTTAACTTACTTTTTACGACGAAAACACGTTTGGACGTAGATTTATCGGTGAGGTATTTTCGTAAATATATCAAATCGATTTAAGTTACAACTTTGTCAATGCAGGTGTGTTTTGAAAAACGTGACCACAATGTCTCAAGTGACCCTTTTGGATGAGGTCTCTCAGTGGAACCAGGAGACCTGTCAACAAGAACTCAAAACGGTCCTGCCCAAACTAGTTATATCCTTTCCTGACTTCACAAATTAATTTTACTTGTAGTCTAAGGCAATGTATGAATGTACACATGTATTTGATTGTTTAGGACTAACTTAGTGTCATTTATGTAACATGATTAAGATTGGCCTTGACACTTGAACGCCATGCATCATGACACTGACAGCTGGGAAGAGCACACAAGTAAGTCTGAGCTGTCTTCAATATGTAATTGTTTTAGACCTGGCATATCTCGGGTGGACCTCTAAACAAATCTCAATAAATATTTTATTTGTATAACCTACTTTGTTGATTTTCTCCACATGATTCTGATTGTTTAGGACTAGCTTAGTGTCATTTATGTAACATTATGATTAAGATTGGCCTTGACACTTGAACGCCATGCATCATGACACTGACAGCTGGGAAGAGCACACAAGTAAGTCTGAGCTGTCTTCAATATGTAATTGTTTTAGACCTGGCATATCTCGGGTGGACCTCTAAACAAATCTCAATAAATATTTTATTTGTATAACCTACTTTGTTGATTTTCTCCACATGATTCCATCTCCACAGATATTCTTCAAATAATCACAAGCCGGTTCCTCCCTCATCTTTCTTTATCTGAATTAGAGACGGGATGTTTCTCCACGGTCTTACCCAAGGTTTGAGAATTAAATTCCCACAAAATGTTGGTTTTATAGTTGGGAAGAGCATTTTTTTCATTTTTCCTATTTGAGTACTTGGTAGCTCAATTAAAAAAAGAACTTGAGTACTCTAGGTATCATGATGATAATGAAACAATTTTAAATAAAACACACTTAATGGAAATAATATCAAAAAATAACACAGCTATTTATAATTATTAATCCATTTTTTTAAATGCAAAAGATGAAAAGAATAAGATTGTTTCAAACAACACAGTTGTAATGAATTATGTCTCACGTTGCATGAGCTGAAAAGTGAATAAACACCAGTAAAATTAAGCGCTTTGGTAGTGAATTGATTAATTCATCATATATGAGTGTTATATATTCATATATAACAGAGTGATTCTAGACATCATTGTGCACTTCAAAGCCTTTGTTTCACTTTAGTTCTCTGGTCTGGACAGCATGCTGTCTGAATGCTTAGCAGTCAGACAAGGTACCTCCCAAAATGCTGTCATAGCCAATCAGAACATTTTTTTTATTCATTTTCATGATTTATCATTGCTGTCACTTTCGAGTATCGGGTACTCGTGCCAATTCAATTCTATAGTCTGAAGTATTCAACAGGAAGCCTATTTTCATGTGTTGTCATGTACGATCCACAGGTGGTAAAAGTGTTTGCCAGTCTTTTGGAAGAAATCAGCAAGCAAATTGGAGGCCTTTCTAGTCAGAACACAGAGCTACATGTGTTATTGAGAAATATCTTGAAGGTTTGAATATGCCATATTGAAATTGAAATAAAAATTTCTTCATTTGCTGGTCATAGTGATTTCTGCTGTTGTGTTTTTGCCAGATGATGGTCCAGACCCTGGAGTCTCTCTCTGGCTGTGTGCGTCATGTCTGTTCCTTCGAAGAGTCTGTTTCCTTTGATGCCATTCGCTCTCTGTCCTCCTGCATCCTCAGAGTCCTAAAGGACACCTTCCAGCACTGCAAGGTACAACATTATTATTATATAATGCACTGGACATATTTTTACACTACCAGCCATCGATTGTGAGTACACCAAAAAGGCTGTTGTCTGTTTTAGTGTGTCTTTGAACTGCAATAGTGGTTATGCAGAGGATTTTATTTTTTCTGTAAATTTCAGTATGGTGTTGATGTGTTTATAGGACAGTGAGGTCATGTACAGTGGAAGGCTGTCATTGGTGGGGGATCTGCTTCAGGGCCTGTTTAAAGAGGCCTATTCTTTGCAGAAGGGCCTGATGGAACTCATGGACAAAATTAACTTGGAGAACACTGCTTCTGAGGAGGAAGTGTCGGATATTGTCACAGGTTTGTGGTATCTGTGTGAGAAATCTCCAGTGA